GAGGGGGGGCGGGGCGCGGCCGGCCGGGCGGGGTGGGATGCCCGCGGTTTCGCTTGAGTTCCTCTCGGGCGCGTTCTTCCCTGGGCTCGGGGGCGGGGAAGGCCAGCACCCTCCACGCTGGGAAGACGGTCCCCGGCTACCACTGGGACCCAGGCCCTCCCTGGCCCGCCCCAAAGCCATTGGGTGGGGCTTGTGGGGTGCCGCCGCTTCGTCCATCTTCCGTCGTGAAGCCAGGAGTGGACACGTGCCCATCCCCTGGGGGAGGGGTCCCCGGGCCCGCCCCATGGCCCGCCCGCGCTTGGGGCAGAAAGACGCTTCTGGAGAAGCGGGTCCCAGATCCGCAAGTGGGCGCGCCGGCAGGCAAGCTGGTGGGCGGGGCCGAGATGTAAATAAGCCCAGAGCCAGGGTAAGAGATGCCAGGTATTTTTGTTTAACTTGATTCTTGACTCCACGTTTAGTAAACGTTAAAAATGAGTGTCCCGAATGGTCCTTGTGAAGGCTGAAAGACGGTGATGTGGCTAGGCCCCAGTTCGCACATCTGCCCTACAGGAGGCAGCAAGTCTCTAAACTTATGACTGCCCAGGTGGGCATAAGCGGGCTCAGGGGTAACCTGGTTTCTTTTACCTTAAGGACACCTAGGCCTCTGCTGACAAAATATTGAGCCCAACTAATGACATCAAGTATTTATTAAGCATCTACTATGTTAGGCGGGGAGCACTGAAAAGAAACTTAGGTCTCACAAAGTTAGTTGGTGACAGAGACAAAACTAGAACACAGTTTTTCGGCTGCTTGTCCAGCACTCATTCTCATGGACTCTTTCATGGATTTATCTGGGGACTAAGATAAAAAGCAGGAAAGCGTCACTAGCAATATAAATCAGTAATCAGGAAGTACCAAATGAGTATTTCAAACAGTAAGAGTTCTTGAAGTATACTCTTAGAAATGAAGGCGTCGCAGAGGAGAGTGCCTTCAGATGGTCCTTGAGAGATATTTGGCCATCCCCTGAGTCTTACATGTTTTCCGGATGTCTTTTCAAAAATCTCTTTCATTTCCACGTTTCTTTCCTCAAATGTGAAAGTACGTTTCTCATGGTGAGGTTGTGATGAAGAGCATGAATCCTGGAGTCAGGCAAACTGTAGTTTTGGGTGCAGCTCTTCCAAATCTGATCTTTGTCAAGTGAATTCACCTGCCATAATCTCTTTCATTTCCACTGTTTCTTTCCTCAAACATGAAAGTACGTTTCTCATGGTGAGGTTGTGATGAAGAGCATGAATCCTGGAGTCAGGGAAACTAGTTTTGGGTGCAGCTCCTCCAAATCTGATCATTGTCAAGTGAATTCACCTACCATGATACCTACTTAAATATAGTTGTGTGATGATTAAATAAAATAATAAATGTGAAAGTGAATAGCAGAAGGCTTTGTAATTAAGGGAAAGTCAATGATCATTAACTTTCTTTCTCTTGCATGCAAACATTTATGCTCTATGAACCTGCTCAGCAGAAATCCTTCCTTCAAAACTGCTTCCAGGATTGTTTCTTCCATTGTCAGTTTAAAGGCAGCTCTACTAACCCCCTTTTAAAAAGAGATTGTGAAAGAGACCCGGGAACCTAATTGGTGGAGCTATTCCACCTTTGGTTCCCTCTGCTTCCACTTTCCGGAGCCACCAAAGACAATGGGCTAGGGCAAAAGATGTTTCTGATGTTTGGTCCTTCCTGCTAACACAAGTCAACAGTTTTAATACAACATGGCCTATAAAAAGCTACCCTGGGTCACAAAATATTTCCTCCTTTGTGACAGGTATGTGGATTTAGGTGTCCATCTGGGTAGTAGGAGTAGGAACAAAAGCAGGGCTGGTTGGAATTCCCAAAGAATCTGCTCCTAGTATGGGAATTAAGTATTTTGAGGGGTACATTAATTATGTGGGTAATGTGCCTGAGGTCTAACTTAGACCGTCTCTCCAAAGTTTCAGACTTTGGGTCCATAGCTCTTCCATTTAGGAAGCCTTCCAGGATCTATAAGATTGAGGGGCAATCAGGCTATTAATGCAGTTGCCAAGAAGCTTAGAAATGGGAGCATGCCTACTGTCCCCTCTGCTAAAAATGCATCTGAACCAAAGTGGGTCAAGACAGAAACTGAAGGCACATAGAGCAGAGATTGCCATGGCAACAATCAGCTTGGAAATCCACTAGGGTACCTCAAGATCTATCAGTAGGTCCCTATTGTATAAGTGAGTCTTATTTTTATATGGATAGACACCACGTTTAACCCTTTATTACACATGCCACTGCAAAATTAATTAAATGTAAATCAATTCAGAATCCATTTCAAAGTAGTTGAATGTACTAGAAAGATACAGAAGAAAAATGGTAATGGTGGTTGCTTCTGGAAGGAGCCTGAGGGTCATGAGTGGAGAACTTAAATCTCATCATTAATTATTTTGTAGTTTGATTTTTCTTAAATATAGTCATCTGTTGATTTTTCAAAAGACAAAACTCATATTCCATCTCCTCTCTGGTAAATCTGTAAAGCCCTTACTGGCTACTCCAGTCCAACAATGTATGACTCACCTATGAATTTTCTCTCTTATAGTCAGAATGATATACACACCATGACATCGCTTTGATTAATGTCTTGATACATTAGTTTAGTCTTATTTTTTCCTTTTTGTCTTTTTTACTGGCCGGTAACGGGATCGCAACCCTCGGTGTTGCG